TCCAGCGTCGCAGTAGGCACATTCTTCGAGTCAGTGCTACGATAACGGTTGCACGAATCTTCGTCGGAAGCCGCACTCTTCGGGACAGTTAAAAAGAGCGCGTTGTATGCGGACGTCTTCATGTGCGTTGCCCTCCCTCAAATTAATAGGACAGGTAAAAAAGAGCGCTTTGTATGCGGACGTCTTGAGGTGACGTCGTGTTCATGTGCGTTGCCCTCCCTCAAATTAATGGCTCAATTTGAGATCCAAGTTCATACAAAGCAGGACACTGACTGCTCACTGGTTGTCTTAATTCATTGCTTACCCGTTTACTGAGTACACTTCATATGATGCCCTGATGGGATTCCTAAAATATCGCAAAGATCACGGTGATAAGTTCTCATGCACATCACACCGGAGGACATATGAGTTGCAGATGTCCTCAGCCTTCTATCAAAAATTAAATCTAGGTACGGGCCGCTTGCGTTTCGCGTCAAGACATACGAATAATACAGATAGATGAAATTAACCTCGCAGCTTATATTAAGCTAAATTAAACTGTTGTTAGAGTGAGGAAATTTTGGAATCTTGGTGTAGATTTTGTCATGTAAAAAGCCTATCTATTCTGAAAAGCCTGGAAGCACTGTACAGTCGCTCTATCCTTATCAGGGATCTTCAACAGTGCGTATCTCACAAAAGTCTAGAGTCACACACTCGACCTACCTGCTACAACTTTGAACTTAACCGTTCGGTCACGAGCGGCTGATCAGCAGTGTGATTAACTCGCACTTCAACTGGATATAGCGAGCCTTATTCTTCAGTCACGGGATCCACATCACATGATCACACGTGTTGACGGGCTGTTCGAACACTGACTTCTCAGATGGAAGTCTCACTGATCGTATTGTAAGGTATGTAACCTAGGAAATTTTCAGTGGAACAGTTTGTACCAACAGCAGTTCGCATTTAGACGCGCTAACAATGGACCACGAGTGTAATGCTTCCACTTGTGGGTAAATGATATTACTTGTAACAGCACCACGTGTCCGCTACATACGCGCTGTAAGAAGCGTGGTGGAGTGTCGCAGCGCAAGTGAGCTAAAAGTATTTTTGTAGGTAAAAGTTTAGGTTTTAATTTAATTAATGGTCTTTTAGTATATATGATGCAAAATTACAGTTTTGTGACATCGGTTCAACTAGCTTTTAGGAAAACAAATAGTGGAATTCACATCAGACTAAATGCCATACTATCACTGAAATTGAGATAAACCTGCGGTCTTACACTAATTCCTTTAGTGTGGTTTGAAATCAGTAAAGGAATTTCTTTTTTGGGAATGGTCGTGTAACATAACGGCAATACTCACAATGAAATGAGCTAATTTTGAAACGGTCAGTAGTCTTTTCGCTTAGTTGAACTTCCCTTAGCTTTTCGATGAACCAGCAGCTCATAACGCTTAACTTCTCTCCTCCCCTATACCTGGTTTAAAAGCCACCAAAGAAAAGATGTTCTCAGATTGGACTTGTGCTAGCCTGTCCAGCGTACGCTCGATAACCTATCCTGCTGGTTTTCTAACTTAGAAACTCTGAGTAAGCCATAGATCCCGTCGTTCGACTTTGAGTCAAATCTGCCATTGGTTATAATTTTCAGACTCCTAAGGTCACCTGCGAATGAAAATCGCGCACACTACAGGAGAAATGATTGATCAACTCGTAAATAATTCGAACAGTCTCCACATGAACCCGCCGTTCATTCCCATGGGGATCGTCGCCAAATTGGCAGAGGGCTTTGACGGATTGCCATTCATAATCTATCCATCAAGCGACCAGCCGCTCATTCGACCGTGGTTTACAGGCACACACCCATCGGTTTCTCGTTCGGCCAACGGTCACGCTTGAATGAGTATGATGGTTTGAACGTTATTGCCGCATTTCATTTCAAGCCACCCATAATTGATAGCCTACCTGTCATTCCACACGATGTGTAAGTGCACATACGGGTGGACTGGTGGCATATGAAGGCAAGCAAACCGAATTCTCCACGCAAACGTTTCTGTTTTCATATCCCTGAGTGCGTATATCTGTTCATGTGCCGCACACCCGCCTCGGTTACGTTATCTTCAAAGAGCGATCAGTCTGTCAAGATGTCCTGATTGCAACCGATACAACCAAAAAGACATTTTAAATGACCACGCCGCCACCGGAGTTACCGAAATTCACCATTTGCTACGAATTACGGATAGTGAAGCACACACTCTATAGGAACTGTAGAAAGAAATGTCGAAATGGTTGACAGCACAGAAACATCGTAGCGCTCGCGGATGCCTGGGAATGCAGTCGGTTAGAGACGACAGTCCGGGACGGAACATCGGAGATGGACAGTAGTCATTTATCATCATTTCACACTGTCCAAAATGAAATAGGTGAGTGCGGGCGGCGTTCGAAAATTCCCACAACCTCATCCGCCTGTTACTCTTGCTCGTTCCCAACAAAAGGAAGCGGTTGGTGGGGGAACAAGGACACAAACTCGACGTGATGTGCCGCTACTAAACGATGGGAGATACACTTTGACAGCAGCTCACTGACGCGGTCTGCGGCTTTCAAGTTATACGGCAGATGTTCAGAAACGATCATTGGCTGCCGTACTGTGGTGTGTGCTGTAGGGACTCGCTGCTGTAATTTATCTGCAAGTGGTCATAACTACGGAAACCAGTTAAATATAAAAGTGTTTTTGGATGAGAGCTCATTTTTATCGAACTTGGGTAACCATAATACAACTTTTTCGACATATCAACAACATAAAAAGTTATGAAATAATATTTTTTCTGTCTACGTCTGCAACGTGAAAAAAGGAGGAAGAAAGGCAGTGCGAATGACCGATCAGATGAAACGATTTGATGTACATTTTTGGGTTCGCAAACCAGGAACTTATTCTGAATTCAACTGATATTCAACCAAACCACACAGTGGTTGAACAACTACACTGTATTGTCTGTTTGAAGGGAAATTTTGCCGATCCGGTAGTCTCAATACGGTTTTCATATCTGTTATTTTGAGTGATACGCTTCATTTACTCTGCATCTGGAGGCCTGTCAGTGGCTTCAGTGAAAACAATCAATAAATACAAGTGTTCTAGAACACCCTTAGGGATTCGAATAAAGTGTCCTAGTGTGTAAACTCAGTATGGCTGCGTTGGGTTGTTCACTGGTGTGCCAAGCAGTAAATGAACGACTTTCAGATACCCATCAAATGCAAATCAGAAGGGTGATGCTTGCTGTTGGCCATGTAAGTCTAATAATCCGGATTATATTTTATTGTTTAACTTGTTTGTCTGATGTATAGAAAGATAGATAACAGATGTAGCGAAGATCAATGTGTGTTTAAAACTTAGCGGTTAGTCATTTCAGAGGGGAGGTTCTTCGTAAAGGAAAGAACATTCAGCAGAGCTGTTGGAAATGCTCACAACGTGCATTATTACCAGTTATAAACGAACGTCACCGTGCCATTGAGGAATACCAAAGGCGTAGTAGCTTCCATAAAAGTGTTCAACGGAAGACCGATAGAAGGGAGATGGGTAGCCAAATGAAGCTGTTTGTAGCGCAAGCAATACAGTATGCAATGAACACTGCGTGTCTTGCCCAATGGGCCAGCCAATCCATATCACACGTACTAGTTGTAAAGGCTGACTCGCCGTCACTGCCAGAACTTTAGATGATGGGATCGTTTTGCTGTTTTCTAGCCCCTGTATTATGTGAACTATTTGGAAATCTGTTACGTACTGTTGTGTTTCCATTACAACAGGTGGATGTATAAACAACAGACTGCAGGACAAGTGATTCACCTAAGGTACTCAGATAAGGCTTACCATCGTCTTCCTACTTGGTCGATGATGTGGACTATGGTCGGAAGCCAGAGTGGCTCGTTTTCCTGGGGCTTCATTGAAACAAAGGAAGCCACTGGAGCAGACGCACGGTGTTCAGCGAATCTGAGGCCTTCTACAAGTATACCCTTTAACGAACAATACCACTCCGGCTACATGGTCCCTATGGGGTAGTACCAATTCTATGATTTTTGAGGATTGATTAAACAAGCTTTTGATTGCATTACCGTCAGGTGAATGACTGAGAGCTGTATGCCTTGACTGACTGCATACATACCTGGACGTAACTGGCTATCTTGCGTTTGAAGCTGACAGAAACATATCAGCGTTTGATGGTGGTGAAGAGATTTAATAATTTTGAATGGAGATTTCACCCTGCTAATGAAACCAGTCTGTGCTGAAAAGCCGAGAAATACTGTACACCTGTTTCATCCTCGCTGGTAGCCATCGGCATTGCGCATACCACGAAACTCAGATAATTTCGAGCCCTCAACCTTCTGTTTAGGGGTTAGGCACTTAACAGTTTGACCACGAGCGACTGCCCAGCTGTGTGATAAACTCTCACTTTCTAGTCATCTGAATACCTACTCTAGTAGTTTTATTATGTCTTTAGGTTAAGCACTTTAATTTCACTGGTTCTACTGTGAACTTCAAATTAGCAAAATCAACTTAAATGACTGGAGTTTTGTTGTCCTGAAAATCTCTTGTGAGTTGGTTTTGGTTTACCTCAGACGAGCTGCTTTAGCTGCTGAAGGTTTCGATGTCCGGTCACATGCATTAAAAGCAAAATCGATTTAGAGAAACGGAAATATCCCGATGTGGATGCAGCAGCATGTGTCAGTCCGCCTTCACCAAACCCTAATTCTAATTCAAATAAGGGGGCAAGTGCATGATTTATACCGGTTTAATCAACAGCTCGTCATTTATTTGAAACAGAGCCTTGTGTTGATCCAGTATTTGCGGTACACAACGTGCACAGGATCAAAAGCAAGAATGTGCTGTAATTTGTTTAAGTCATTGCTAAGAGAAGGTGGAAACCAGGACCCTGTTGAGAGTAATTCACTACACCATTGTCATACTCTTACCGGATTAATTGCTTTCAACGTCCTTATGATAATAAATTTTATTTTATTTATGCAATCAGTTTCCGCACCAACAATGCTGCTACAACTGGTAAAGAAAAATATGCAAACAAACTACCAAGCCCGGTAAACAGATCAACAGTCACCTAACCTAAAACTACTCCATCTTGGTGTGCAACCTGGAAAATTTAAGCGATTATTCTTGTCAAATTTGTGATCGAATTACGGATACAAATAACTACTTATTTAAGGTATTGTTCTGTTGTGAACAAATAATCATTCAAAAAAGAAAATATCAATCTTTGAATTATCTAATCGGCTTTTATTAGCACCACACAAGTCAAGCTGATCGATAGCGTCTGATTTGCATCACCAACCAGAGAAGCGACCGGATGGATAAAGAACAAACATGTCTGCAAGTTTGTCGCTTTTGATGGAACAAACACAGTTGTGCATTTAATACCCGACATTATTTCTGGTACAATTGAGCATCTACAAACCATGGAGCCAGAAAGTTTTTGAACGTATGTTGTGTGAAAAATCACGTCTTTTTTCTTTCTGGATCAGAATTCCTTCATGAAAACGAGGGATACTGACGGTGGTCCCATTGGCCTAATAAATAACCAAAAATTCTAAGTGATCCCTGAGTGGCTCGGTCAGTTAAATACAGGTTCCAAAATGCCTAAACTAGGTAATACCACACAGGATTTTCGCAGTTGATCACACTCAGATCAGGCCATACAATGACTTGAAACCCCACACAGTACGAAAATTATGCTCTCTAAAATGACAGTGATTATCAAGACAAACCAGATAGTGTTCTTAACTAGGTCACTTACATAATTTGCGAACTTTAAAAATAATCTATGTAGTCAAAATGTGCGATATTTAAAATAGAGAAAACTGAATATATGATACAACCTTCGTGGGTGCCATTTTGATATCCGTGAAAATATTTATATGGACTGCTGCAATCATTGGTAACTTATCAGCTGACTGTTGATCTCGTTACCAAATTTGGTAACTGACTTCCATTCGAGGAAACATCGTCACTGTGCTGCTTGGCAGGTTGCTAATATTCAAACACATAACCAGCTACGGTAACCGTCAAATGGAGTGCATTAGAAGAGGTAGGATTTAATTACAAATGTGTTATTGGCTCACCTGGCTTAAAAGATGTGCGCTACACAAAGCACGACATTATAAGACCCTTCTCGATGATTTTTTTTAGGTTGAAACCGTTTGGTTGATATTCTGTCTCTGCGATTCAGGTTACTTTTCGTTGCAGAACAATAATATGGACATCACTAGTGGGTTTAAGGTAAAAGCCTTATCTTTACTGATTACTCGGAGTGAAATTCACCTTCTTACAGGGACAAACACGAGTAAGTCTGTCACACAGATAGACTGTAGCAAACTTTTATGTGCGCATTACTGCACTGTCAAGTTGATGCGACGAGAGATAATAGAAACTTCGGGTTTTCAAAGGAGATCATACAATAGGAGTCTAGATTCTGGTTGTCAGGTAATTGTAATACACTTTCACGGGTAACAATAGGGTTCCATAGTTAAGCTTGATAAACAATGTCAAAATTTTTCACAGCTTTCTCAGTTATTGTTTTACTGGAGCATGATATCTGATGAAGTTATCTTTGTTTGCATCAGATATTTCACAGATGACGACATGAAGCTCATGTACACATTCACACGAGTTCGAGACGGTCTCATCCCTCCCTCCAATTCATAGCGGCGTAAACTGTAAACAGCAAAGACTCACCCAGCAAGAATGATCCCTTGTGTTTGTGAAATTTGCAGGAACAATGCTCAGGAAGCACAGGTTCGAACATGTCGAATTTCTCCCTTTCGGAAGTACCTCTACGCCATTCCCATAATGTCTGTACGAAAATCGCCATACATTAGTTACATGGGTTAGTGCATATTTTACTCATCGGGAGATGAGGAATGGAAGGCTTATTACAAATAAAATCTGCTGCATTTTCTAACTGTTTTAGACAAATTAAGCAACAAAATTAGGCTCGATGCCATCGAACGGGAGTTAGAAGTTGGGTCGAATCAATACTTATTCCAAGCGTTTACCATGCAGTTTTCGCTTAGAATTCAATACACTTAAAGATTTACTGAAGCACCTAAACAGTTCTGCTGTCAGGTAACCAATAGATTTGATACACTATTCCAAGGTCCGCGAATATTGTGTTATCTGGAAAATTTTCTTCAGTTTGTCCAGCTGAAAGCAATAGTGTCACTCTGCCTAAAACCATCTATCAAAGCCACAACATCTTGATACAATGAGGGATCGACAAGAGCAACAAGCCTTCATGGATTAGATAACCTTAAAGTTATCTACACCAAAGATGTGAAGTTTAGGACGATTGCTCAAAATCCGCGACAGCTTGATGCCTTGTTTCATCCTGTTTTTTTATCCCTAGATGAACTTATCCCATGGAAGCTGAGAAGTTATTCTCTGCTTTAAGTGGCGATTTGCTTGAATGTTTACTTTTCAGTTCATGTGCACGATGAGTCCACTGGTGCTGGAGACTACATGAAGACCCGTGATACTGTTCCGCTACCTCAAGGTTTCTTTGCAAAAAAATTTCAGTATACTTTACAGCGGACTATCATCCGTAACATGACAGAATTCTGAGAGAAATACGAACGAGTATCAAAGTAATGAATCCTATTAACTTGCTTGGAGCGTTCAAGCTGACCATTGTCAATAGAAATTGTCGCTAATTTAAACTGCAAGTAAAAGTTGTAGTGGACCACGTTTATGGTACAAGCCTACAGTTCATTAGCAATATTGGGGAGGGGTGTTAAGAATAGCGAAATTATCCATATTCTTTTCGACTGGTTGCGCTGCTGTAGATCCATCTGTATACGCCGAACTACGTGCACAAGGTAAAACTTGCTGGAACACGTAAGCCAACTGAACAGTGCTGGAATGTTGGGTTATTCCAGTGTTGAAGTAGAACTGCAGGGTAATCTCGTTCAATGGTAAAACACTCGGAGGTAAACTTGTTCAATGAGGCTCAAGGGCCGATACATGTACAAAATGCAAAACCACGTCACGGACCAATTAAAGGTGGTTGGATGAGAGCTTGGGTTTGTCATCGTTCCAACGGAAACAGCAGGCGGTCTGGTGGTCGTTGCCTTGTTCGCTGAGCTGGGCAATTTGATTGCAAACGTTTCATCACCAAACGAGGTGACATCATCAGTGCGTTATTGTGCAGCGTAGGAGTGCGTAGCGGTGGGTTGGTGGTTGTGCGTTGGGTAGTGTTGTGCGTGTGCTAATATACGTGCTGCTGGCAGAGGATGACCTTTGATCGCGATTAGTTGTTCGGTCGGGCGATTCCATTGGTTGCTCCGTTGTCCTGTGTCCTCATTCGCCGATGCTCACGTGACCTCTGAGCTTAGCACCCCCTGCCGTCATAATCTGGTCGATGCTAGAGTGACCTTTGTCCTTTCCAGTTCCGGGTTGTGACCTTTATTGATTTACTTCCAAGGAGTTACTTGTTTCGTTGTTTGTGAGTTCAATATTCGGTCTTCCTTGAGATTTCCGTTTGAGATGTTGGTCTTTTGCACGTAGGGGCGCGTAAATTGGGTCCAGTTCGATGCACCGGTTGATCGAATCTGCCGTGGAGTACCATGCTTCCAGAAATTCTCTTCCGTGTCTCGTGCCTCCGTATGCCAAAATTTTTGCGTCTTCCAAGTTGAATTTGTGGCCTTCTTGGTCCTCGTGTATGGACATCAAGGACAGGGGGTCATGCCTCCTGACGGCCGCGTTGTGTTCCTTTATTCGTATGCATAGACTCCTCCCAGTTTGTCCGACGTAGAATTTGTTGCAGTTGTTGCAGTTGAGTTGGTATATCACATTGTTCTCCTTGGTTTTGTCCGGGTTGTCCTTCGGTCTAGAGATTAGTTTCCTCAGGGTGGCATTCGGCTTGTGGGCCAGGAAGATTCCTTTTTGAGCCAATAATCTGGTCGCGAGTTCTGATATATTATTGATGTAAGGCAGGACCACCCGTCTGGTGGCTTGTCTCTGCTGCTGCCGTTGTTGAGGTGTCTTCTTCTTCAAGCTTCTCTTGATAAAATTTCTTGGATATCCACTGTTCTGGAATACCCTGAATAGATAGTTTTCTTCCTTCTTCCTCAGTTCTGTGGTGCTGCAGTGTGTCTCCGCCCTCTTGAACAAGGTTTGGACGCAGCTCTTCTTGTGGTTTACTGGGTGATTGCTGTTGTAGTTCAGCATTTGATCTGTATGAGTCTCCTTCCGATATATGGAGGTGTCCAGAGTCCCGTCCATCTTTCCGTTCGCTAAAACGTCTAAGAGTGGCAATCAATTGTTTCTCTCCAGTTCGGTTGTAAACTTGATATCTTCAAAAGTTGTGTTGAGCAGTTCATGTGACTCGTGTACTCGTTTCATGATGACAAAGGTGCCGTCCACGTAGCGGATCCACAGTTTTGGATTAATGGTCAGCAGTACCGCATGCTCAAAGCAGTTCTTTTATGGTTGTTCTGGCGAGGTCGTGGTTGATTGAAGTGAACAGCGATGTGACATCAAATGAAAGCATGACTTCATCGTCTTCTATACTGACGTTCCGTAGTTTGCGTAGGAATTGACCTGCATTATTGACTGTGGGTTCCGATCCGTAGAATAATTGTTTTGATCTTCTCCATAAGTCTTTTGCTAATTTGTAAGTCGGGGTTCCCGGAAGTGAAACAATTGGTCTAAGTGGAGTTCCTTCTTTGTGCACCTTTGGTAGTCCGTAGAATTGTGCAATGTTGGTATCATCAGCTTTCATTTTCCATCGTTCCTGTCTGGTCATTTCGTGTGTTACATGCAGTTTCTTGAGCGTCGTGTTGATTCGATTGATGATGTTTGAAGTTGGATCATGATCGATTGGTTTGTAAGTTGCGGTGTCATTTAGCAGTTGTTTGGCCTTTTCAATGTAATCTGGCTTGTCCATTATCACCGTCATGCGTCCTTTGTCTGCCGGTAGTATTACGATTGTTTCATCCTTTCGTAGACATGTGAGTGCGTCTCGTTCTTGTTTGGAAGTCAGTTGCATGTTTCTATTCCGTGTGATCGCTGGTAGAATTATCTGTCGTATCTGTTGTTGAACCTCCTCGGAGAAAGATGGACGGGACTCTGGACACCTCCATATATCGGAAGGAGACTCATACAGATCAAATGCTGAACTACAACAGCAATCACCCAGTAAACCACAAGAAGAGCTGCGTCCAAACCTTGTTCAAGAGGGCGGAGACACACTGCAGCACCACAGAACTGAGGAAGAAGGAAGAAAACTATCTATTCAGGGTATTCCAGAACAGTGGATATCCAAGAAATTTTATCAAGAGAAGCTTGAAGAAGAAGACACCTCAACAACGGCAGCAGCAGAGACAAGCCACCAGACGGGTGGTCCTGCCTTACATCAATAATATATCAGAACTCGCGACCAGATTATTGGCTCAAAAAGGAATCTTCCTGGCCCACAAGCCGAATGCCACCCTGAGGAAACTAATCTCTAGACCGAAGGACAACCCGGACAAAACCAAGGAGAACAATGTGATATACCAACTCAACTGCAACAACTGCAACAAATTCTACGTCGGACAAACTGGGAGGAGTCTATGCATACGAATAAAGGAACACAACGCGGCCGTCAGGAGGCATGACCCCCTGTCCTTGATGTCCATACACGAGGACCAAGAAGGCCACAAATTCAACTTGGAAGACGCAAAAATTTTGGCATACGGAGGCACGAGACACGGAAGAGAATTTCTGGAAGCATGGTACTCCACGGCAGATTCGATCAACCGGTGCATCGAACTGGACCCAATTTACGCGCCCCTACGTGCAAAAGACCAACATCTCAAACGGAAATCTCAAGGAAGACCGAATATTGAACTCACAAACAACGAAACAAGTAACTCCTTGGAAGTAAATCAATAAAGGTCACAACCCGGAACTGGAAAGGACAAAGGTCACTCTAGCATCGACCAGATTATGACGGCAGGGGGTGCTAAGCTCAGAGGTCACGTGAGCATCGGCGAATGAGGACACAGGACAACGGAGCAACCAATGGAATCGCCCGACCGAACAACTAATCGCGATCAAAGGTCATCCTCTGCCAGCAGCACGTATATTAGCACACGCACAACACTACCCAACGCACAACCACCAACCCACCGCTACGCACTCCTACGCTGCACAATAACGCACTGATGATGTCACCTCGTTTGGTGATGAAACGTTTGCAATCAAATTGCAATTGGCTCCAGTAATTGCATCAGACAACCATCCGGTGTCGAAAAGTCCTCGGTAATACTGTTTGGCGTGAAATGTCACAATTGTTATCAGCACTAGATTCTCAGAGTTTTAGGTGCACACCTATGTTTGAGGCATAGTTCTAAATTTTCTGCTTTGTACTCGTCATATATGTCTCAGTCCTTGTGGTCAGCTTCGTGAAAGGAGTACCTTCTTTTGCCGCCCAAGACTGAAGTATTTTGAATGTTGAGTGTGCCACGAACACCTTAGTGCTTTACTCGTTTACAACTGAATACTCGTCTTTTGCCTCTGGCGAAAAACTGAAGTTTTAGCCGGATATCCGCGGCCGGGAGGTAATATCTCATATGGTACCAGGTAGCCGTAGTTTGGGTATGAAGAGTGCTTCAAAGTCTAAAGAAATATTTAGTGATAACGGCTTCCGAAAGCTGATCTACACCGCAATCCCAATAAACTCATGAACGAAAGGTTACATGACTGGACCCTATCCATTTATGCCCTACGACTTCCAAGCTGCGTGTTTGATATCACACTTCTCCGAAGCCATCGTATACTTTGTAATATTAATTCATGTCGGTCACGGACGATGATATTCAGCGCAGTGCCAAGAGCAGCAATTTACCGTGGTCTGAGTGAAGGCATTAAATTAGCAACTAAAAAGATGAAATATTTGTTTGCAGATGCACACTTATCATTTGCATTATGAAGTTTCTAGTCACTGTCGGGTGAAACGGCACCTCTATTATGAAGTTCTAGTCAATGTGGGGTGAAACGGCACCTCTGTTGTTTACTATCACAGTTAGAAACAGCACTCATGCTGTTAGTGTATATTGTGCTGAATAGGTCAATGAATTACCGTGAATTAAATCCCAATCAAAGGAGCCTCTGTTCTGCTTACTTCTTTTGTCGAAAGACAATTCGATATCACTCATGTCACCCCCTTTTAAATCACTACGGAGAGCCATTCCGTACCAAGGAATTGAAAAGAAGGAACGAATTAATGTTCAGCTAGTATGTACTCAGGATGAGTTTGGTTTTGACAGATATGTGGGCAAATTTCGGCTTTGTAGGCTGCAGTAGCAGCAGTTGGATCAAGGGTTGCATTTTTATTCCGTTCGCCTCAATTCAACCCGGATTAGTCAGCTCTCCAACACGACAGTCACAAATCAATCTACTAAATTTCTACTCATCACCATTTGCTGTAAGAACGGTGTGCTTCTCGTATAGTGTTTGGTGATACCACAATTACATCCATTGATTATTTGGGGAGGTAGAGTAGGCGGGAGCCGATAAACTGATGCGTAAATACAAATCAGTCAGTAGACTTTTAAGTGCGGGAACTGGGAAGGGAACTATGCACCGACGTCAATAGCTTGGATGCACGTGCCCCATTGAGGGTGAGACTGGGTTATGTCTGACAAAGTTTCCAAATATTGATGTGGCCTGTCTCGGGGTCCAAATCCAGGGAGACGGTAATGACCAGCGCAGCTGAGTTTGCTGGTGATGGCTTTCATACTTCGCTGCCAAGTCATTGTTTGACCGCCTCTGTATCGTTTCCACCCTTCGAGTGGTTGTACGAAAAGAACCCTTCAAGGAAGTGGGTCGACTGGCATGCCCAGCACGTAGCCGAGCCAGCGCAACCCGTGCAGTGTGATTGGTTCATCTATCGAGGGCGAGTTATTTCTTCGGAATACCATTAGACGTACTTCAACATTGCTGATCCAGTGTTCCCACCAGACTCGGACGATGCTCCAAAGACATCGATGGTCAAACGCTGAAAGTCTTTCGACGTCCTCGGTGCGCAGCGGCACGTTTCTGACCCGTATAGCAATATGGATCGCACCGCAGCATTGTAAACTCAACCCTTGATGGATGAACCGACGTAACGTCTATGCCACAGGTGACGTAGTTTCACAAAAGCTGCTTTGGCCTTCCCGGTCCGGATGGAAATATCACCCTTCGAGAGACCACCGGGACTGATACAGGTAAACGAATTTCTCTACTACCTCAATTGGCTAATCGGCAAGCATGAGGTTAGGTTCCGAGTCCACACAGTCTTGCATCAGCATTTCACACTTTGCCGGTGTGAAGCGCATGCCAAACTGTGATGCAGAATTATTTAGATTATTTAATATTGTAGTTTGATTGAGCAGGTGGAAACTCCATGAAATACAAATTTAGTGCCAACAGAGGCTGAAACTCCTTTACTACATTGAGACCTATCCCTGGGCTGTAGGTAGCACGCACAGTGTCAGCTTGTCTATGACATTTCACGGCACGCTCAGTTGAGTGAACACTGGGTTTTGGTCAAACATCACGCTTTGGCAAGACAGCCTATCAGTGCGTCAGTGTGTCAGACTAGCTCACAAGACCGATAGGACACGGAACCAGTTCGATGGATCGGCACTAAGCCTGCGCTTCGAACAGCTAGCGGTAAACAAGACTGGAGGCACTGTACCGCATTTGAAACTCGAATGTATCGGCTTGCACGCCCCTCATAGGACCTTATACGTGCCTCTTTCTCTCTTTCCTCCCCTCCCTCTCTCCCTGTTCCAGGTACCATGGTCGAACCACCACGAGCCCCGGACAGGAAAGAGTAGCCACTTGTACACCCCCCTGACTGACCTTGACCGGCCCCCCTTTGATGCTACACCCCCGACTTCCGGTTTCGGGTCGGGTTAATACACGTGCGTTGTTGCTACACTCCGGTCTTCTTCCCTGTACCACCCGACCTGTGCGCATGTGTGCTGTGTATACTGTGTGGATTCATTAATACCAGTCCCTATATCTGCACATTTCAGAACTGACGTGTGCCGTCACTACATCCTCTCGAACGTCGAATACCGCTGGCTTCTTGACATCCCACGCTACAGCACTATTGATTTTCATTTGTAGTCGCCGCTTCAAGCGAGCCATGGCACGACGCAACTCTGAGCAACATCGGAGCGTAGTGCGCCCCCCGTTTGTCATGAGCTAGTCAAAATAATCGCCTAAGGATAAAAGCCAAGATGTTCAACAAAGCTCCGACT